AAAAAATCTGCATTTAAAGAGAATTTAATATGACCTGCACTTAGAGAACATGCACTTAGAAAGAGTCGACTGTATATAGTTTAGCTAACCATACCGATCTAAATAAAAAAAAACCATGTAATTAATATTAAAAAATTTATAAAATTATTATATCGTTGCAATAAATAAATAAATATACTTATATTAAATAAAAGTTTTTGTGTTGAAAAATTTATTATGCCGTAGTAGAGAAATAAAAAAAATTGTTTAACATTAAAAAAAGTCTTAAAAAATTTATTAAATAGTGGTTTGCGCTGATTGGCCAAATCATGACGATCATCACGTGGTTCAAGTAGAATCTACATGGTTCGACACTTTTTTTTGCTATGGCTAGGGTACTATGCGGGCAGTTACCTGGAGTAAGAGACGTTATACGGGTGGGCAGGCAAAAAAGGTAACTAAAACAACACAAACAATGACTTGTGCCTCGATTTCCATGAACTGCCAACAATACTTCAAGACTACCTTAAGCTATTCTGTCTAGTTTACCTAAGGTTTTCTAGTTTAGTTTTAACGTTTTTTTTTTTTACCTTAATAGATTGTTTAGGTTAGATACATATATTATTAGGATAGAGTTAGGTGCAGAACTTCTTAATTTTGTAATATGTAATTTTTTAAAGCCCGACACAAATTCTTTTTTTTTCATTTTGTTCCCCTTTCCCCTTTTTAGTTTAGTTTGTGTTAGTATTTTTTTTTTTTCCGCTTCCCTACGAGAAGACGTCATCAGTTTGGTGATATCCTATTGTAGGGCAGTGGTCTGACGGTGCCTTCTGGGATAGTTAAGTTTCTTTGAAACCTAGCATGATGTATCTACTTGTAGATTCATCTGCCCAGTGCGGCCGGTCGCTTGTAAGTGCTCTTAGAAGTAACTGCGGGATGTCAAACCTTAATGTTATGTACACGTGAAGTGCTTTTTCCGACAAATTGAATATAATAAAGGATATTGGTGAGACGGCCAAAGTGGAAAAAAAAAAAAAAAAAAAAAAAAAAAAAAAAAAAAGATAAATTTTTTGATTCAAAATACATCTATATATTTATAAAAGCAATATTTTGAAAGTTGGTAAATTTGAAAACTTATTCAAAAATTAAACTAATTTATTTTTTTAAAAAATATCGTTTCGTTACTTTAAGACACTAAGAATACTAAAATTTTATTAATCAGCAAAACTCGAAGCACTCTACATAATATTAGAAAACATAGACATCCATAAGCATAATTTCCTATAGTATAATCATTATCATCAAAAAACCAAAAACTTACATTCATTTAACAATTATAGATAATAGCAGAGAAAATACTCTTAAACATTAACGTTTAATGAAATGCACAAAGTTAATTAGTCTTCAAATTATCACATTATTCTACATCGTATCAAATAATAAACATTTTTTTTTAAACATTGGAAGCTTATCAAAGAACCTATAGAAATCTAAACTAAACTAAATCTATCCGGTTGGGAATAGTGAAAGAGATCAGATACGAAGAAGTATCAAAATCACAAATATTATTAACTTACCATTCATTCAATACTTTTCTGAATCAGAATCTACTTCACATCAGTCCATGTATTAAATATAACTAACTACATTAATAAGAATTAAGAGTGAACAATACTAATATTATTATATTCCTAAGAGAACAACAATGTGCAAGAAATTGTCAGGGTAGCAAAGGTTTTGTGATGCCCAAACTATGGGTATCTCTAATTGTGGAATAATTCCATGAATTACTGGGACTGGAGCAGCAGATGAATTCTCACTAGGCAAGGGAGATGGGAATAGTTCCGGAAGAGCCTGATGTAATACATCCCCTAGTGTAAGTTGGTTTCCTATTCAAAGTTTATAACAATGGTGAATTGATACGTTAAATTTAATAATGAAATTATTATAAAAGACAATCTACCGTTCTCATCAATTGGAGAGATTGGCTCCTGTATAACAGGACAATTATCAGGTAAATATATTCGTATTGGAATATGTTTTGGCATTTGTCCATCATTAATAACAAGGCGGTAATTCACACTCCAGAATCTATCGTAATTCTCTGTGCGGTATTTTTGAGCGAAAAAATAAGAGTTAAGGCATAATGATTTTAAGAATAAAATTACTTCCAGCTAGTTAAATATTCTCGTTGCATAAAGCATTAGCGAAGTTGTCGTTAGTGACAGACTCGAATAATTTTTCAAAATTAGGATACTAGACCACAGTCCATCCCAAAGCTGTGTTTGATCATTTTTCGATAAATTCATCACCTTCTTTGTGCTTCCATTTCTTAGAAAATCAGCCTTATAATTAAATATCAACCAGACAAGAAATTAAGATGTGTTCAATATTTAATATGAAGCAATAAATGATATGATTCAGAATTTACAAAAACTTACTTCCTTAATCATTGACATGAAAAAATCCTGCGTTGCATCAATAGCCTGTGCTCTTATCAGTTTATCTGCAGGAAAATTTTTGAAATGTACTGTTACAGGCCAAGGTAAAGGTGGCGGGCTATTAGAGTCTGGCCGATATCCAGTATGCAAATCATACAACAGGCCTATAGGATAATGCCTTTAATTCCATTACATTAATTAAAATTGAATTTACAAGCCCTTCCCGTTACAATGATATGAAAAAAAAAACCCCCAAAAATTATAACTTACCATTTCAGTGGAGTTCCGTCAACGTCATACCATATATCAGCATCGTCTCCAATAAAGTTCAGCGCCATATCCACAAAGTATTTTCTTATTTGACTCGTCCACAAAGGGAAGTATGAGCATCGTGGTGCCTCGATCTGTCACAAAAAGTTCGCCGGTATGATTTGTTAAAATCGATCAAATTTTCGGTATATACTGCGATATTATACTTGAAATTCAGCTCACAAAATAAGGTTCAACTATAGCTTTGGCACCCAATGCAGCTGCTTCTGTGCTGTCAAGAGAAAATTTGATGGGTAATGTTCCATCCCAAATGGCTCTAGTAATGGGGTTTTGAGGCGCTGTCATAATAGTTTTCGGCTTAATGTATAAGTGCATTGAATGCCCCCTAAAAATATAAGATGCGTGATCATGTGAAAATTTTAATCTTGGCGCAGGATATATTTGTTGGCCAATCATATTCAATTTAAGAAAAATGAATAAAACGTGAAAAGTTTGATTTTGATTCCTTCCCTTTAAAAGAATCTGACAAATTGCTCTATTCATAATGTATGATGTTATAATTTGTACAAGAATTTAATCGTTCTAGTTACTTTTGTACTGATACTGAACCATTTTTATACAATTATTATTCATAGGGTGAACTTGAGTAGTCAGAAAAGGTTGGCATCTAGTGTACTTGGCTGTGGTAAAAGGAAAGTTTGGCTCGATCCAAACGAAGTGACCGAAATCTCTAATGCCAACTCTCGTAAGTAATTTATATGAGATCACTTTTAACGGTACATTTTTCACTGTGTACGAATTACGAATGCGGGCGATGTTTGTCGAGTTCTTGATAATGAATATCAAAAACAAAAGAGTCGATGATCGATCCGTTAGTGGCATTATATTATTCCGTCACATCGGACAATAATGAAAGAGTTAACCGTTTACATGCTCAATAAATCACATCATCTCTATACAATGAATAATACAGGTCAAAACATTCGAAAACTTATAAAGGATGGTTTAATCATCAAGAAACCGCAAATTATTCATTCCCGCTTTCGTGTTAGAGAAAAATTGGAGGCCAAACGTAAAGGTCGACACACCGGTCCCGGTAAAAGAAAAGGTACTGCCAATGCTCGTATGCCTACCAGCGTGTTATGGATGAGAAGGCAACGTGTATTAAGAAGGTTATTAAGAAAATACCGTGAATCGGGTAAAATCGAGAAACACTTGTATGTATTTGTTTATATTTTTAATCGATATTAAATCAATATTTTTCTGATCGTTATCGTTATCATTATATATTTTATAAAGGTACCATCAATTGTATATGAAGGCGAAAGGTAACGTTTTCAAAAACAAGCGTGTTTTGATGGAATATATCCATAAGGCTAAAGCCGAAAGAGTTCGTATTAAGCACCTCGCGTAAGTATACATCACGAATAATCTTTGATGATTCTATCTCCCGATTGACAAATGATAATTTGATATATTATATATATTTAGTGACCAGGCTGAAGCTCATCGTCAAAAGGCTAAGGCTGCTCGTGAGCGTCGTGCAAATCGCCAAGCTCAAAAGAAAAATGAATTGCTTGGCTTGGACGCCGAAGAAGAATAGAGTTTAGAACCGGGTTATAGTAAACGGGTCACCCGTGTCAAAACGGTTCAACCGGGTCAAAAATTTAAAACTCGGGTCAAAACGGTTGAATATGTAACCTCTAACTAATACACAAAAAACATAGCAAAATTTGAATAAACACCCTTTTTCTCTTACTAATTTATCTGAATTTTAAAAAAAAACGTTACAAACTTTGGAGGCTATGCGGACTATCTATTGTTGCGAAAATTTTGTTAAAAATTTTCCTTTGTATAAACCTTCATTATTATTTTCTTTGCTAATATGTAATACTCTTTGTTCCCCCGGGAATTTGTAGCGCATGAATGGCGTGATTGTCGATAACTCATAGAGGGTTTTTAGATAGCTGTCCCACAAAATTTTTTTCACCCCTTGTAATAACGACCAATCGAATTTCAGGATCAGGTGTAACATGATAGTCATGTTTTGTTTTCTAAGTAAAAGGTTACGTGCAAAATTAAAGTTAAGAAAACCGCGTTATAGTTAGGGTTAGTACTAGATAATGTGACATTTACAAGTAAAATTTTACAAGGAACACTTTTCATTAGATCACAGAAGGCGGTTTCCTAATTAAAATTTAAAGCTATTCTTGTTTTTTTTTGCTTCGTTTCGATTTTCACGTTCCTAAAATTCGATTGGTCGTTATTACAAGGGGTGGCTTTTTAAGGAGGCTTCTAAACGTCCAACTACTATAATAAGTTTTGTAAATCAACATGAAGGCTACACAATGATATGTGTATGAACATGATTTGATTTGGTGTTGTTTATTGATGTTTTAGAAGATTCTACTTGGATTTCTATATTGCCAAGGCCTTCCAAATGTTTTAAAATGTTTAAAAATAAATATTGATTTAAAAATTATAAAAAAGATAGTTTTTTGTCTTTTTAAAAAGTAGAGTTATCTCTACCTAAATTTTCTTTAATAAAATTATATTTTATTATTTTTTTCTTTTACATATTTTATTTTTTTCTTAGTAATAATATAAAATGAAAGCTGACTTCATAAATAGTATTTTGACAAATACTAGCTTTATATTTTTAGAATTTAAAGCCCATATATATAGTAGCTGTTGATGGTCTGATTATTAGTACTTTCTTTCCTCTGATTATATCTAAGGATATTTCTAAGTTCTAAAGTCTAATAATCCTTGTACAGGGCAAGCACTTGCTATACCTGACCTATACAAACTAAACAATAAGTTTAGTCTCTAAACACAATTGCCTATTGTTAACTCCTTATAGTATCTTGAAGGCTATTGAATTTAAATCCTATTTTAATTATTTTCATTTCTTATCTTTCTTTTTATTTCCTTTAAATAAAAGATCTTCTACTTAACATTCGTGTCTTTGAAATTTGCTAAAGCTTGCTAGTTGTTAGTAAATTTTATCACAGTATTATTTTTATCATGCTTATTGTCCGGATTTCAGATTCAAACTAAATCAGTTTTTTTTCTTTTTCGATAATATCGAATTGAACTCCACCCTCGAAAATTTTAAAAAAACTAGTCATCCATAATTCTCGCCGTCACGATTATTTCAACCTTTTTCAACCGGTTTACCCGATTTCAGATTATTCGGGTGACAATTTATATCCGGTTCGGAACTCTAAAGAAGAACAACAACAACCACCACCACAAAAATGATAAACTGGATATAGTTCAAAAAATTATAATCGATTTAAAAGGTGTTAATGTGAATGTTCATTCTTATATTAAACATTTTGATGAGCTTCATTCGACCATAACGCATAGAGCAGTGTTCCTTTCAATTTTAATTGTAACCGGTGTAGATTGTTTGTTCCCTTTTAATTAAACATCGCCAACCAAATTATTGATGGCTACTAAAAAAATGTATATATTTCGGAAATTTTTTTATTAAACTTTGTAAAACGATCATAATTACGGATTAAAATAAAATCAGATTAAAATGAAATGTTGCATAGTGTAAAGCCACCGAAAAATACAAAATTTTGGGTGTATTTGTTTAGCGTTAGGGAGTAAAATTTAGATTAGACACAAGTATAAATGGGTTTTAGAGGGTTAAATAAAAACTATAAAAACATCAAATTTTATTTTAATACGATTTCATTATGATCTGCGACAATTACTGACAGGCTGTTATTCAATAATTCGCAGCTAAATGCGAATTAATTTTCCGCCAAAAATCATGAAGACCCAAAAACATTCTTAAACACTTGTAAATCGTTCTAAATTATACAATAAGAATCCATGCTTTATTTTATTTCAAACAATTAATAGTGGAAATTAGAATTAACATTATAAAGATAATATTAGTCACGGTGATATAATCCGGTATTAACCCATCTGCTAGTTCCGCTTGCATGTTCCCAATCTCCTACCCTATTATTATGAGAGTTTCCCATACCAGTAGGTGAGTAATTTGGAGAATAATTAGTTGAGTAATCACTGGTTGGAGTAGTAGATGATCCTCCGCTTGATCCAGGTGATATGGAACTCATTGAAGCAGAGGAAAGCATGACATTACTCTTATTAGCCTGATGGACAAAGTATAAGAAAACAACACTTGCCAACCCACTCACAAGAAATATTACGTCAAACCATCGATGATAGAAATTGAATTCTATTGACCCTAAAAGATTAGATATTGTATTTCTGTATATCACAGGTAGCGACATTCTCATCATTAAGAACGCACTTAGAAAGTACATTCCCATTATTTGTGCCAATAATAGGACAATGTCATTTCGCGACACCGAATTTGAAACAGCCCGGAAAAACTGTAAAAAAAAAAATTTTGAATAAGAAATAGTTATATCAATCATTAAATGATTCTTGAAAATTAAATTATGAAAAATTAGACAAACTCTTAGCAATTGAATGAGTAATCCACGAATAGAAAAAATGATCATGAGTCCAACAAAAAAGAAGCTCAGTTGCTGGGACCAGAAATCGACATCAAAGTCAATTTTTATATATTTAATTGCTAATGTCAAACCATATGTTATAGGATCGGTTTTTCCTATCCGGAAAAAAATGATGTTAACGGTTGCCTTGTGTAATGTGGAAAAATTAAATAAGTCTCAGAAATTGTGCAATGCTACATAATGAATTGATAGTGCTCTTTACAGTACCATGATTATTTTATATATACAATAAACAGAAAAAATATAACCCATAAAATTAAAGTATTTTCCTTGCCATGTTTTTGAATATTGAAGACGGTCCTAGTGTTTATCCCAAATTAGTGGTAATGAAAAAACTACAATAAAAGGCAGATAACAAAATAATTATACCCGCTCTTGATATAGATCATCAATATCTATAAATAACTGGCGACTAAGATTTTCTAATCCAACGACTTCTTGACGCAGCATCCCAATGTCTTTGCAAACATGTTTGTAAGTAAAAATAAACCATTGATAAGTTTTGATGAACGTAATACGTACTTTCGCCACCTATTCCCATATGATTGGCCATTGTATTAATCATTTTTCGCATAAATCCACCAACTCGAGAACCTTGCTATTGAGATAAAAAATCAGTGGTTTTCTCGCTCACGATTAAGCTTATAAACTAAATATTACCTCTACAGCACTTCTTTGGCGTGCTTGAGAGATCAAAATGCGCCTTTTCTTACTTAAAATTATATCTAGTGTTTGAATATATTTCTTTTCGGCAGCTTGTATATCAGCGTCTGTGACTTGTCTATATTATACGACTTTATAATGGTTAATAAAAAGATG